CGATCCGGCCCCGCGCTGCACGCTTCGGGCCACGCCCCCCGCTCTCGACGATCCACGCCCCCCGCTCGCAGCGTCGCTCTCGCCGGTCCACGCCCCCCGCTCGCAGCGCCGCTCTCGCCGTCCGTAGCAGGGCTAAAACAGTGAAAAAACTACTTGGCCGGCACACGAAACTACATGTCCCGGGCGTCGGACCATACGAATTCCACACCCCTGAACCGTCTTTAACTGTAAATTTTAAATTGCCCATTTTTGCAGAACGGTAAAAAAATGAAGAACCGTAAAACTGTAAATAAGCAACTTATGTTACAAATCTGTGTTGTGGTAACACATGATCTGCAGTGCTGTTTGGGTGCTGTGTTAGTGTGTGTTGTGATAAGATCCATAATAGAAGTCACCAGCACTTGATGATATGTGCAAGAAGTAAAGCACTTTTTATTCAATTGTCACATGCGTCAAACAGCAAAAGTTTAGGGGCCACGGCGGGGTCCCTTATTCTGGGCGACATAGTGGTCCCGAAATGTTGGCTGTTTGACGCATGTGACGATTGAATAAAAAGTGCTTTACTTCTTGCACATATCATCGAGTGCTGGTGACTTCTATTATGGACAGTATCTGACACGGCGCCATCCGTGTTGTCACTTCAAGCACCAACCTCTTACTCAAGGTCTGTACGCTGCATGGAGCGCAGGTGATTTCGTATTATCGATTGTTGTGATAAGATGATGCAGGCATACATTTAATTGCAACACATTGTATCACAATGCACAGCAATACGTCAAAACGGTTTGCCATGCGATGCCACACAGTTGAATTGTTAATAAAAAAAATAATCAAGCACTGCGATATGTTCTAACAAAGCAAAACGCAGCTCATGTGCATGGCATACGCCAAAATATGGTGCACAATATTGTACGTGTGTGGGGGGGTTGTTTTAATTATGTTTTCTAACTGTTGGTTAGAAAACATTCAGAGACTCCATGAATGAACAGAAAGTGATGTATAGCACTTCCTGTTAATTTATAACTAGGGATACATACTAGAGGAAATGGAAATTTTTAAACCGAAATGAAACCGAAATAAAAAAAAATGTTAGGCCGAAACCGATACCGAAAATGTTTTTTATTTTTTCAATTTTTTTAAATATTTAATTTTTTATAAACTTTTTAATTTTTTTATATTTATTAATTCATTTTTTATTAAATATTTTTATTTTTTTACTTTACTTTTAGGGGCTTCGGGGAAATATTAGGGGTCTAAACAGACCCCTGATATTTCCCTTTTAAAATAGAAAAAGAGATTGAGAACACAGAGTCCTCTATCTCTTTTTCTGTGTCCCCTGTTATCAATGAACAGGAATCCTCTAAGAGTGTTCCTGTTCATTGATAACATGGTTTGTTTACTATAACTACAATTATGAATGAATGGGGGTGATGTAGATTACTCCCATTCATTCATAATTGAGTATATAGTTAACATACCATATCCTCAATTATGTACACACACTCAGCGATCACTGATCGCTGAGTGTGTGTACCTTGCTCTTCTCTCTGACACGCTGTCACAGGAGGCTGATCGAGCGGTGTAGAGAGGAAAGCCCAGCCTCCTATGACAGCGCTGTCTCCGCCCCCACACCGCTCTGCCGGACTGTGATAGGCGGCAGAGCGGTGTGGGAGAAGACACCGGCCGCTCACAGTGCTCTCCTCCGCAGCGCTCGGCCGGCTGTCACTTTCTTTTCTCCCCGCTGGGCGCTGTATCGGCCGAAACATGGCTCTTTCGGCATTATGCCAAAAGTGCCATTTTCGGCCGATATGTTTCGGCGGCCGATATATCGGTGCATCCCTAATACATACTATGTCCTTAGTTTTTTTTACAAACACTGGAGTGATCAGTGATTGGTAGATATTACACAGGTTGCAGCGGTCTGTTTCTCCTCGTATCCCTGCTGCCTCTGCCAATACAGGCGGGGGAGAGCAGCAGGGATCCGAGGGTAAACAGATTGGAGCAGTTTCCGGGCGGTAAGGAGAGGGCAGAAGAGGCTGTCAAATTGCGGCGTTGGGGGACAGAATTTGAATAGCTTTCATCGGTGGCTTATCAGCCGTTGATGACAGGTATCCACGTACAGGGCACCGTCAGGGGGACCCTTCTGTTATAAGAGCTTATAGTACAAGGGTGAAAGCCACCGAGGTACGGCATAGGCACATGGCCAGCTGGAAGATTTGAAAGGCACAATCAGCAGATACAAATAAAGGGTATACATAGTTACATTGAATAAAGACACAGGTCCATCGAGGGGGGTGTGTGTGTGTTACTAATAGGGATGCACCGATATCGGTATTTTGGTACCGAGTATGAGTACCGATACTTTTGGTACTCGCCGATACCAATTACCGAGTACCAGAAGTCCCATTCAGGAAGCCAGGTGGCGTGCAATGTCTCGCCACCCGGCTTCCCGATTAACAAGAAAGCTGTCCCATACGAATCCCCATAATAATCATATGATCCAGCATGTCTCTGCAGTGCGGATCTCTGTCCCCTCTCACCTCGGCATGTCCAGCCTGTCACCCCCAGGGCCTCTTCAGCCAGGAGCGCCCTCCCTCAGGTACCCAGCCGGAGCCGTCTTGCTGGCCAATCATGGAAGCCGGGCGCCGTGTAATGACGCGGCGCCCTGCTTTCTGATTGGCCGGCACCATCATGAGATGACGAGGGAGCATGAAGCCGGCTTCCCGCCCAATCAGAGTGCCGGGCGCTGCGTCATTACACGCTGCCTGGCCGGGAAGTTGGCTCCATGCTCTCTCAACACAAGTGACGAGAGAGCATGGAGCCGCTTCCTGGCCAATCAGGAGACCGGGCAGCGAGAAATGACGCACTGCCCGGCTTCCTGATACAGGAAGTATCGGGCTAGGCATCGGAGCATTTGGGCGAGTACGAGTACTCGCCCAAATACTCGGTATCAGCACTGATATCGATACTAGTATCGGTGCATCCCTAGTTACTAAGATGACCTGTACATCTGTATATACTGTTCACTCAGAAAAGTATCTAAACGGTAGTCAGAAATTAAGACAACTAAGCTGTCAAAATCTGTCTCTCACTTGCTACTGCACACAGAACATGGGATAAAAAGCAACTTACACTGTAGGAGTTAGGTGACTGAGATGTGAAAAATAATACCTAGGTGAGGCTTCTTCTTTAACCTCTTGCCGTCCGCCCGTAGTAAAAAAAACGGACGTACGGCACTGCTACATCTGCGGGTTGCCGTCTCCAGACGGCAATTTTTTTCTGCTCGCGCGCGCCCCCTAGCGGGCACGCACGGTTGTATACTGTGTCACCTATTGTCTTCACTTCCAACTGCAATATACACTTCCAACTGCAATATACATAGATGTTGCAAATGTACGCAATGTGAAAGTTTATTTTAAAAAAACAGACTAAAGGCACATCATATTATGGAAAAACACAGAAACAACACTTGAACAATCTGGTACAGTTTCTGCAGCTCATATAATCACAGGAAGCCAGTCAAATGAAATCAATATATCTATGCAAAAATATGACGCATTTTATCTATGAGGACAAGATCATTTAGAAGACTGGGACCATTTGTCTGTGTACATAAAATCCTTTTGGAACTCATACGAGGAAGATCTGTTTGATGACAGCATGTATGTACCAAAGATGGGAGGCCTACAGGCAAGACAATAAATAAGCTTGCTGTGGAAGAAATACAGAGGCTATCATAACTGTCCTTCTGGAAATTCCAGTCGCCCAGATGTTGTTCATTGGGTTTAATCTACTAAAGGCAAATATTCTGTTCATTTTGCAAGGGAATTGTCTCTTAGCTTAGTAAATGAGGTGAAGCTCTGTTGATTTCCATCATCAAGTCATGTGGAAGGAAAAAATTGTTTCTTTTTCCAATTTTCCTTGCGCATGATTGAGTACTTTTTGCAAAGTGATTTTTTGCTGCATTCATTAAGCTATGTGAAAGTTGCCTTGCAAATTAAACAACCTATTTGCCTCTAGTAACCCCACTGCCTGCAATATTTTTGCTGTGTTACAGATTCAGAACAAGTATGCAAATTTGGAAAGTCAGATGTCCTTATCTGAATACTTGTTCCAGGTCAGCGATTCAAAATGTTTATGGTAGAGTGACCACATGACAGCCAGGAGTGGTCAACATTGGCAGCATCCAGTTTTGCCTCATGACAAGTTTCTGATAAATGAATTACTTCCAATAGATACATTTTTGTCCAGATTAAGTCCAGTAAGGTTTACTGCAAAACTGCATTGTCCATGTTACTGGTCTCCGGGGTCACCTCTTCCATTTCCACATCCCGCTGAGATTTCTTGGATTTCTTTTTTGTGGTGTTGCTCTCAACCTCCATTCTAGGAGAAACCTTCTGAGGTTTAGATCTAGGTTCAACTAAGGAAGAAAGAAATTTTTTTTTAGCAAACAAACCGACCATAGCTTATCAATATAGCAGGTGGTGAACTTAAGACAGTTCCTTACATTTATGCAGAGTTGTAATTTGAATAGTGTGGCAGAATTTGCTCTTTTTACAACCCAAAATTCACAAACAGCAGATAAAGTGAGATGATGTACTTCCCCCATCTTTCAATCTAGCTCATATGGAGGGTTGAGAATTCTTATTTAGAGAGTTAGTCAAGACCTAAGCACTGGTGATGCAGCAGCCAGGAATATACATCACAAATGTGATTTGAAAACCACAGGCACGCACACACTATGCTAACGATGTTGTCTCAAGTCCTGCATTAAATGTGGTGACCTAGTAGTGCTTGCATATAAGCGACAGGGCCCCTAGTTGTCACAGGCAAGGATTAAAATGGACATTTCTCTGATCCACCGCAGACTCCTCGTGTCCCACGGTGTCTGTCTGACGTGCTCCCGGCAGCCCCCATTTACTGTAATTGTGTTTTCTCCCCCTCCGCTCTACTGCGCATGAATACTTTGTCCTTCACTGCCATTTGTGAGCCAAGAGTTCTACTCTGAATTAGTGCTGACACTGTCCTTCCTTCTGGAGGGTGGCTACTTTTGTTCCCCATGGTCTCTGTGTGTGTTGTAAAGTAGCCACCGATCCAAGCTCGCTCCCGTGATGGACTACAGTCTTGATACAAATTAAAAAACTAAACATGAGATTATAGTACATCACAGGAGTAAGCTACAGTATTGGAAATAGTTAAGGTACTTGAATGCATTTCTAAAATGTAACTCTTGAGTTTAGTGTAACTTTAATTTTCTCTCAGTATGGGGCATTGTGATGAGGAGCTGTAGTTTACCGACTCCAGGCAGAGGGGGATAAAGTAAGCACAGCGGGATGACAGCAGGAGCAGTGGCTTCAGCAGCCGTGTGCACGCAAGAGGACGTACAGCTAGGTCCTCCCAGAACAATGGGGCTGCAGACTGGCTGTATATATACTGTGGCAGGTCCGCAAGTGGTTAATTAACTCAAAATATGTGCTCATTACAAATACCCTATACTTTCCCCCTTAAACAGAAATATCAGCTATGTGTAGACAAAAATCAGCAACACCTACCATCCATTTTCTCCTTTGACTTTTGAGAATTCTGCAGCTGCTTTATCAGTTTTCTCTTTTTCTTCCCAGACAGTGTGATATTTGCTCTTGCACTGGAACTAGAAGTAAAAAAAAACAAGCACACACACAGTGAGCCACACTGTACAATATTAAAAGAATATTTAGCACAATAAGGTTTTCTAAATTGCTCTTATACAGTAATTGTAGCCTGAGCCATTTTAATAACATATTTTTTACAAGCTAACGTTGTATTTCAGGAGAACCAGTGGGTGATTGTGTTTTGTAGCATACATGTTATTCAAACTAATGGGAATACAGTTATCACATTACAAGCCAAACTGGTGTTTGCTAAATTTGTATAAATTTATTAAAAGGGGTCAGTCTGACAGCCAGGCAACTACAATGGTGGCTGCTATGTCTCTCTAATGAGAGGTTTTCCTTAATTCTTTTGGTGCCAGATCAATGTTTTCATTTTTGTGAACACGTGCTACAGCACACATATTTTACATGAAAGCCCATTTCAAACCTCAAAACGTGATGATTTTCTGAGATCAGAGACCATGTAGAATAAAATGGATGTAGCCGTAATGTTTTCACACAATATATTTTGATACTTTTTAAAATATAAAATATACTTAAGAGAACTATGGTGTAAGTGTTTTTCCCCATAGTTCTCTTAAGGGTCACGTGAGGACATATACTAACCTCCTCCCGTGACCCAAAGCTCAGTATATCGCGAGCTACAGCTCACCACATACTGAGACCGCTGCAGCCGGGACGGATCCTGACATTACTGTTGAGATCTACCCAGCTGCGTGATTGACAGCGGGCTCTGCCTATCTAGAGGCAGAGCCAGCTGTGCCCGCCCCCTCCCGTTTGTTCCTCCACTCAGCACTAGAGGATCGGACAGGGGAGGGCGGGAATCCCTGCAGGGAGCCGTGACTGACAGTCACGGCTCTCTGCAGGGATAGATCGAGAAGTGAGCGAGTGACAGTATGTTTTCGCTCATTTCTCGATCTATTGAGCCAACGTATGACAGTTTCATTGTCACATGTCGGCTCGATCTATGAACATGAGTGATTTTCACTCATCTCATAGTTCTCCTTTAAAGTTAATTTTTAGGAAAATATGATAGATGATGTTCCTTTCCAGGTTGAATGATGTGCAGCATCGTAAAGAACAGAATAAAATATATTAAAAACATGATACATTCCATTTCTGTAAGCCTAGCATACATACTTGGAGAAGCATTTTGTGCTTGTGCTGTCTGAAAAATGCATGTACAGCAAAGAAAAGGTTCCTCACCAATACATTGGTGCAAAAATTGCCTTTATGATTTTAGTATAGAGATTTAAAATCTGTACCTTCTCTTCCTGAGGTGATGAACCGTTATTAGTTCTTTGTCGACTATGGCTCCAACTATCTTGTGTTTCCTCCGTTTCTCACGGCTAATCAAGCGTCGCCGTTTTAGGAGATTTTTTTGCAAGTCCTGCAGGAACACACCAAAGGAGACATTTTAAATATATGTAAACCCTAACAATGATCCCCTCTTATCTGTTAAATATACCATTGGAAGCCTAATGTTATATCTATTTGATGAGCGCAAAATAAAGTGTTGATCTTGTTAGAAATTCAAAGCTGTCCTGTGTCCCCTGAATATGTCTTGTGTTATATGAAAGAATGCTCTGAGTTCTTATCTTGGACTACAGAATGATTAGCTTTTATGTTATAGAGATCTGAGAGTGGGATTGGTTGAGTAGTTTAGCAAAAGTCAAATTGCAGAGTGGAAACCACTCAGTCCACAAAAATGCTGCGTGTCTTCAGCCCACAACAGGACTTAGGAGCTGAGATAATTTCTGGCAGAACAAAATGTATGTTTCTGTACTTGCAAGCATTGCAGAGATGTACTGCATTTTTTTTGTTAATTTTACCTTGATATACAATTTAAGTAATTTGGAAACATTACAAATATTTATGTACAGTAATTATATATATCTACAGGGCTTGAAAAAGTTTAGGGTGTCTCACCAGTCAAAAATGTCACCAGTCAGCATGACCGGCCTATAGCCTTGCAATTTATGTTAACATTTTTTAGGGACACATAGAGCTTTCTTTTGATGGTATATAAGCACCACTCGGGGGTTTTATTTTTTACTATTTAATGAAAAAAGTACCATAAATTTTGGGGAAAAAAATGTTTACGTAAAAAAACATTTATTCTTACCCATATTTTTGGTAAAACATAAAAGATGGGGGGTCACATCGGGTAAATAGACACCAAACATGTCAGGCATTAAAATTACGGACACATGCAAAATCACAAAAAACAACCACACCGAAAATTGGTGTTATCATTGTTTAATGACCCTAAAATTATTGTTTGCACTCCAACATTCGCGGCAATATGTAACACAATCGTTATTTGTTTTTTTTTTGCTTCTTTAATTTTTTTATTACTCTTTTTTTTACACTTAAAGGAGAACTATGAGATGAGTGATTTCCACTCACCTCATAGTTCTAGCCGACCTGTGACAATGAGACTGTCACAGGTCGGCTCAGTAGATCGGGAGATGAGAGAACACATACCGGGTTCGCTCACCTCTCGATCCTGTCACGGCTCTCTGCCGTGACAGGGGGAGGGGCTGGATTCCCCTCTCCCCGCTCCGATCTGCCAGCGCTGACTGGCGGAACGGACGGGGGAGGGTACAGCTGGCTCTGCCTCTAGATAGGCAGAGCCAGCTGTCACTCACGCAGCTGGGCGGATCTCGACGTCGATGTCGCTCCGCTGTAGCTCGCGGTATATTGAGCTTAGGGTAACGGGAGGACGCTAGTTTGTGTCCTCCCGTTACCCTAAGGAGAACTATGGGGGAAAACACTGACCCCATAGTTCTCCTTTAACTTTATTGCTATCACATAGGGAGCTAATAAGCCACCTATGTAATAGCCAATTTACATGACAGGTCCTCTTTATGGAGACATCAGTCGTCTCCAAGACCCCTAATGTCACCTAGGGACCCCCAGAGAAGCTGATGCAGAGATCTGCTTCACCAGCTTCTGAAGCTGGAGAGTGACAGCAGAATGTGGTGTGAACCGGCCCTAAAGGGACTGGTCTAGGAGCCAGGCGGCATCATAGTTTGGGTGTTTTAGCTCCCTAAACAAAATGAGAACTTAACCCTTGCAGTGTAGTAGCCCCACTGCAAGTGTTAGGATTTGATTTGTCCAGAGTTCTGCTTTAATAAAGATTCCTTAAAGTTTGCTACCTAAATGGGCTTCTGGGCTGCATAGTTTTTTTTTCCAAAGGTGAGCTAACCCTATTAAGTGGTCAAAACACGTTCTAGTTATATTCTTGTTCCTGACGGCAGAAATAAGAAGGCAGATTTCCAGAATCTCGTAGGTTGTTTTATACTGACACGGACCGCATGTGCATCCCTTCCCTTAATAAATGTTTCACCTCCCCCTTCATAAGATGTACAAAAAACCTGTAGTCGTTAGTACCGTCTTTGGTCGGTTGATTTTTCCTCCTGGAGCCATGCTGAACCCTCATGCATTCCACAGCGAAGCCACTTCCGGTTTCCGTTAATCCAAGCCTCGTTCTCATTTCGCCAATCATTGGCGGTGTTGTAGAAGTGGGCGCGGTTAAGATTGCTATAAAAGGGCTGAACGTGCCCCCTTTCGTTCTCTGATCGTGGTGGAAGGTGAGTGTGGCGGATGGGTGGTTGGGGCAGAGGGATCGTGTTGGGCTTTGATTGATCCTCCATTTCTTGGCACGCTGGGCGTTGTCCGTACCCCTGTGTGTAATGTACGGAGGTAGAGTATTCCCGGTGCTATGTCTTCGGTGCCAGCTCCTTTATGAGCTGGTTCTATCCTCAATCGCTGGGACAAGCGGCAGCAGTTCAGGGACTTCTGTCTGTAGGTGAGAAGACCAGCGCTGGGCCTTTATAAACTTCCTCGGCCTTTGCTGTCTGGTGGCATTGAGTAGGAAGTGAGCCAGAACTCCTACGTGGGAAACACCGATAAAATCTTGCATTAGCACTGGTGTTGGTGGGTTTCAGAGCTTTCTTCTCTGATGAAACTATTTTACATTTGCTTTGTATATACGAGCATCTCTATTGGTGCCTGACCCAGGTGAGACCGCTCCTGTGTATGGGTGGAAACTCCCTTTTAGCCTGTACTGCATTCAGAAAATGTCTTGTAATTATACATGCTCTAAGATGGATTGTGATTGGGCGAGAGGAGTCTTGTTCACCTCTGACCCTCCATTCACAGCATGTCTTGTACACCAGATGTCTTCTGAATGGCTGTCTCAGCACTGTAGGTTAATGCTTACAGTACTCTACAGGTTGAATAAAAGTGAGTCACTGAAGGAAGCAGCCAGACCTAGGATGGGCATCAATAAAATGTATTTGCATATCAAATGGGGGAGGGCAAGGGGAATAGTTTCTTCCTGGTGTTCAGCTTTAAAGTGTATCTAAACCCAAAAAAAACATTTTATGTATTGGCACTTTAACAAGCCTGCATTTTTTTGGGACTTTTTTCCTTTTATTTTCACTTGGTGGTCTGGCCAGTAACACTTACTGTCCTAGGGTGGCTCCACTCAATGGAGGTGCAGCATAGCCAGCCTTAGGCCTTGTTCACACCAGATGCAGTGCGTTTCCGGCCCAGTTCTGGCCAGAACGCATTGCAGCTAGCTCACTTTTTTTTGTGGGGCAGGAGGGGGTATGGCGGTTTATTTAAGTGAATGGCACTGTAGCCACGCCCTCCGGCAGCAATGCGGTCGGCCGCAAGGGGCAAGCATGATCGGACCGCAGGCACAGTGTGCCTTGTGATCCCATGCGGCTGATTGCTTTGCGGCCGGAGGTTGTGGTTGCAGTGCGTTCTGGTGTGAATGAGGCCTTGGACAGTCACACTGTTGCTCTGTGGAGGGGGTGATTTTAGATGGACTAGCAAATTTATTTACAGAAGTGACTAGTGCATTAAAAGCTGACCTTCAGGTAACACTTAAGCAGTTGCAGAAACCATCTGTATTCCCTTTGGGATAAAGGTTTTTTCATAAATCAAAGCTGAGCATTGTAAGCACCTGCCAGGCCTTGGGAGAGCTGTGACCATGTGGCAATCGTGGATGGCCGTGTAGTCACTGAATCGCACACCGCAGCTGGTGGTGCCGTTCTTTTCTCATGGTACCCCAGTAGCGCTGGACAGATTGTGCGGTGTTCATGGCTGAGAAAATCACGTTGCAAAAAAGGTACCGTAACTTTTTTCAGCAATTTCTGTGCAGATATAACCCCATTGATTATCAATGGGGCCTCACAGCAAACGCTGTGTGCAACACACTAATTTGCGTCCTGGAATAACCCAAGTGTTCGCCTGGCTTCCACTTTTGCCTGATAGGTTGGTCTGAATAATGTGATTATTGGCTGGATCACCAGATGAAAATAAAGAGAAAGGCCAAATATGAGTCTAGGGAGTAAGCTGCAACATTTTTTTATTTTTAGCTGTACGTTTGGTACTTTCTGTGGACTTTGCAGAGGGGATTAAAAGGAGTTAACTTGTGCTGCTAGAGAACAAGTGCTACAGACATCATTAAACAAATGGATGAAAGCCTTTCTAATAGGCTTCTGTGTGCATCCTCACAAACACTATGGGGGAATTTATCAAAATCTGGAGCAGTTGTGCTTAGAAACCAATCAGCGTCTCTTCAGTTTGTTCAGATAAGCTTTGAAACTGAAAGATAGAAGCTGGTTGGTTGCCATGGGCATCTGTTCCGGTTTTGATTCCCCTGTATGAATCCAATGGAACCTGGGCATCTGAGATGTGTTGCAGAAGTAGTGTGGTTGTGTATCAATAAAAACTGCACAGGTGCATACTTGCAAAATGTATAGCTATGAATGTGCCCTTATGCTTTTAGTGTGGTTATAATCAGCATATCCAATATAGTAAAACATGGTGTTAACTTGCTACCAGTGAAGTGGCTTGTTAATGCTTGTAATCACTAGGCTTAAAGCCCTGCTTCAGACTGCAAAAATATCCCACACTGCAACGGTTAAATGTCTAGTTTAAGGTGGGAAGAGTATGCTTAGACTTTCTTGCTCCACTAGGCTGCCTCCTCTGCAACTGGTCCTTAAAGCCTCTTCTGATTCTTTGGTTGGCAATCATGTGATTAAGTACAATGAAGGGCCTATAGTCCTGCATTGTATGAGGCCTGTACAACCTGGAGCAACAGAAGGTGAGCCTGCCAGAGCAAGGAATTGGTGTGTATTACACTTCACTTCCCCTAGAATTAACAAGCATTTGAACCTTGTGCGGTGGGTTACTGTAGGATTAATTTAGGGGTGTTGTGCAATTCCCACTGTTTAGCTTTAAATCTTGTTACTTTAGTTGTACTTTACTAAGTACTTTAGTTGTGTGGTTAACTGTGAAACTCATCTTTCTAAAACATTTGTTTTCTTTCAGGGCTGTTGGAGGTGAGAATGAAATGCTTCAATGAAAGCTGCTGGGCAGTTTTGTATGCTCAACTAGCTCTTGACACAAGAAATGGCTACTGGACTGTGGTGCAGACTTTTGGCTCAGGTGCTCTAGCTTAATCTGTTGTTGTTTTTGGGGGCTAACTACACTGAGTGGCCAGATTATTATGACCACCTGACGTTTGTAGGCTAATTAGCTATAATTTTGCACTGAAGTTGCTAGAGGGCCAGACCATTATAAATAGGGAATCAGGTTGTTTACCACGACAGTAGTAGTGATTTTTTTTTCTGAAGATATGGGTAAACAACGCGATTTAACAGCCTTTGAACGTGGGATGATTGTTGGCGCTCGGAGACATGGAGCGAGTATCAGCAAAACAGCAGAATTCGTTAAATGTTCAAGAGCAGCTGTTGTTAAAGTGTTTAAAGACTGGACTGTCAGCCGGAAATCTGGGTCTGAACGTGCGAATTGTGGCCGTCAGCGACTAGTCAATGTTAGGGCAGAACGGAGAGTGGCAAGACTGGTACAAGACAACAGTAGGGCAACAGTGCATCAAATTACTGCAGATCTTAATCGGGGATCCTCTCAAATGATCTCTGAACGCACTGTTCGCCGTACACTGCATCGTATGGGATATGTGCATCGTATGGGATATGGAAGCCAAAGGCCAGTTCAAACACCTTTGCCGTCTGCAGTTAAGATAAAACGTCTCCAATCCGCACAGGAACACAAGGATTGGACAGTCGAGCATTGGAAAACAGTCATTTAGTCTGATGAATCATGTTTCCATTTGCATCATGCAGATGGCAGAGTGAGAATTTGGTGGGAACAGCATGAAAGCATGCACCCCACATGCATGAGTACAACCCTTCAAGCTGGTGGGGGCAGTGTTATGGTTTGGGGCATGTTTTCCTGGCATGATTTGGGCCCTTTAATTCGTGTGGAACAACGTCTGAATAGCACAACATACCAAGTATCGTTGCTGATCAAGTTCATCCTATCATGTTGATGGCGTATTCTGGTAGAAGGTAAAATGACTCATTGGATTAGTAAATGACACTTGTAGGAACTGATCCTCAAAGCAATGATTTCCACTGGGTAAACCCTTCCCACTGGTTTAAAGTTTAAACACAATTTGTGCACTCTTGAGGCTTACATGTAATGCCCCTAAAGAATGGTGCAAGATGGACTTTGCTTTTTAATGTTGAGGGCTGGCAAACTCCAGCCATTGGCTTTCTTTTAGATGGTCAGACTGACCATTATGCTTGTAAGCAAAGACCGTATTTGCATTTTAGAACTTCTGGGTGTTTGAGGTTAATTAATGGAACAGCAAGTACCATTATATGAAACTTTGTAATCTGTTAGACTATTAAGCCTGAATATTCTAAACATTCTCCAGGTGTTAAAGTGGCTGTACATAGGCTATAAAAATAAGCCCAGCTTAGACTAGAAAACATTATACTTGCCTCTGCTGTCCTGAAGATATAATCTGTCATCTGTCACATTAGGAGTTTTGTATACCTGTGTTCCCCACTGTGCTTCATATGCCAAAACTCCACATTGCTACAGGAGTCAGGTCAGTGTAAGTAACCCTAGCGTGCAACACATACGGACTGCGTAAGTCTTGAGCAGGCTTCTTTTAAAGATGGTGGCACTTGTGAAAGATGTGTTCAGAGGCATATAGTTGGCAGTATCAATCTAATCTTGGCTGCACTTAGATGATGCATTGCTTTTATAAATAATGGTATAATGAGCCGTGTGGATGTTACATTTACAAATTGTGTAACTGCCTTGTTATAAATAAACATCTTATAAAAACTGTCCTGTTGGAGTTTTTATTGAAAGTTATGCTTGAAGCTTATACTTTGAAAACTGGTCTGTTATAAGTAAATGGCATCTCTACATTAGTGGGGGAAATCAAACCTGCTTTTTTATGATTGTGTAAATGGGCCCCAACTAGTGTGGTGAGAATGTTAGTGCTGTATTATAGCCCAAACAATTGTAGTAAGATTTAAGTGTATGGTGAGATCCTGCTATTGTGTTAAACCAGTTGAATGGTGGGCAGCTGTCAACTGATACCATAGAATGCTAAAGCTGGCCATACATTTTTAAATCTTTCAACCTGTGGGCTGAATGAAGAAAATGTAACAGATTCCTTAATCAATGCTTGCGAGCATGGACTGAGGAATCCCCCATTTTCATTGTATTCTGACAGTTACCAGCAGCTGTAAGTGCTATTCCACTGAAGATTTTCAATCCACTGAGGGATGCAGGCTGGAAGGGTGCCAACAGCACCTACTGTAAATTTCAGCCTCTTCCTAAACAGGCCAAGATTTCTGTGTGGCCAGCTTTGTGTTGATTTCTGCATGTATATGGGCACCATTTGTACTGTAGCATAAGGAACTAGCATTCCACTTCTGACAGCTGTTTAAAAAAAAACCTATTAAAAATGGATTGGACTTTCAAACGTGCCTAAACTATAATTGGGTTATCTGGACACATGAGCACAAAGCACCTCAACTGCTGGTAGCTAGGCCAAGAAAATATAAAATACTGCCACTACACACTAAGCATTAGGGAAGGTAGGAATGTCAAGTTTGTGAAATTGTTGGAAAGTGGGTCTCATTCATCCAACTTGTCCTTTTCTGAAATAAAGAGTTGATAATGACATGCTGACAGGTTTAATATATTGCATCTAGCTTCAGTAATTGCTCAAGATGCATATGAACTCCCAAAGGAAAATACTTGGCATAAGAGTGGTGACTGTTTTTATAATGGGCTCTGCAGCCACAGGATCTTCTGACCCAAACCCAGGCAGTTTTACTTGGATATGATGTACACTAGCAGAGATTGCTTTCAGTGAAAATATTTCAGAAGGGCCAGATAGAAGTAGGCTTCTAAGCTGATATGTTCTTGGGGCCCTTTGATACTTGTACATGTCTTAGGGGCACCCAGCAGTTTGTAATTGGAGCATTAATATGCAAAGAGTTATTAGCTTCATGTAACAAGTTCAAAGTCCACTGTCTGCTACAGTATGCCCACAATCTGTGACAATTTATTCTAATGTCTAGTCTTTTAACCATTTACATTAACAATTTTGAATCAATAGCTCCTCTAGCCACAGAAGGAGCTGAAAAGTGACAACCCTTGTCCTGGATTCCGTAACTGAAGGGCTGATAAACCACTGGCAGTGTGCTGATCTCCTTCCGGTCCAGCAGGAGGAACCTACTGTGCCAGATCTGGGCCTGCACAAGGGGCAGTGGAGGGGGGGTTGCATCATAGGAGTGGGCACTGCTCGACCACTTATATGTGAAAGCTGCAAAGAACGGTACAAAGATGAATGCTGCTTTAGGACAAGAAAGTGGTTAAAGGAGAAAAAAAAGTTGGAGAAAAGTGATTTATTTGTTACATCAAGGCATAGACATAAAGCACTGCCCCATCACAGCTTTAGCAGAGGAGACAGCCGGGTAGCCACTGATGAACTGTCAATGAACTGATTCAGTGTTGAATGGAGGGCTGCTGGATTTTCCCTTTATGATATACCTGGGTGATTTGTTTGCATTACACGCATATAGATAATTTGTTGCTACTGAGCGATTGAACCACTTGTCCACAATCTCCTTAATTACCTTGGGACAGGTTTTAATCGGTTAAATTTACAGGGTCTGGGACTCATCAGGTTTGCACACTCTACCCTCATATGTATACTCGCCTTATAACCGCTTCTTAGGATGATTCGGACATCTCCTGACATCAAGGGCCTTGAATGTGGTGCCGGCCATCATAAAATTGCAGCCTACGCTGATGACTTACTGCTCTTTTGCTCCCTGAGGTCATGTTGCCTAAAGGTGCCCATACACTGCACGATTCTTGTATGATCGTGGGAAATCCTGCGATCGTATGCAATGATCGCAAGTACGATCTGCCTGTCCAAGATGGGCAGATCGTATATTTAAAAAAAATAAAATAAATTACTTTACAACCCTCGCAAGACAAGTCTTGCGAGGGTTGTAAAGTGTATGGGCACCTTAATGTTATGCATGCCCTGCAGGCTTACAGTCAATTGGCAGACTTCAAATTGAATTTTAGTAAGTCTGACACACTGAACATCTCGCTCTCCGACGCTCATTTCGCTAGACTTAAAGCTTGTTTCAAGTGGGCTGATGCTCATCAAGTTCCTGAGAATTTCTATGCCCGTTTGATATTCGTAAGGATGTTTTTGTTGCACTTCATCCCGATCCAGAAATGTATTATTTGGGAGTTGAATTCCTGGGATTGCCCTGCGTTTTTTTACATGGATGGGTCACAATAACATTTTAAAAATGATAATTATACCTAGATTACAGTACCTTCTCCAGACGCTTCCCATAAATGTCCCTACTGCATTTCGCTGACAGTTGCGCTCCCGCTTTCTCACATTTCTGTGGACGAATAAATGGGCCTACTTGCGGCATCAGCTCTTGTCCAGATCTAGTGGGGCGGGTGGCCTGAGCTTTCCTGGTATTATTATAAATCAGTATTATAAAGCTGCCCACCTGTCCGTACTGGTGGATTGGTACTGTAATTTTAGATATAAATTATGGGTGGCTTTGGAAAATGAAGATTGCGGGTTACCTTTGCAAGGTATTCTCTGCATCTCTCCTAAAATGCTGCTTTCATATTGGTTGAACCCGTTGGTTCATGCCATGATGCAGACGGTGGGCTTGGTGCTACCCTCGCCCTCGCCCCTAGTGCCATTGGTTGGGAATCTGCATTTTCCTCCAGGCCTGCATAAAACCACTAGCCAGGGATTTTGTGACCTCTGCCCATACCAGACTACCAGTTTAGAGATGTGAGACAATGGATACCAGTGACCCAGATTCAAAATATGACTGCCCCTCCCATGCGGGTCTGGAGTGCTTTAAGTTCACAAATTGCTGTCTTTTACCCCCTCTGTGTTTCTCCTCCACCTGGCCCCGATCTCACAGAAAAGTTATGAGCACTCTTTTTATTGATTCACCGGGCATGTATGCCGGCTCTTTGGAAGCAGACCTGATCGCCTTCTGTAGAGATGTGGGCGTGACCGGTGGAGATCAAACTGATGGAAGACCTGACCTCCTTGCTGCGTGGGTCTCTGAACAAGTTCATAGCTACTTGAGCCGTGTGGTTCCAGTTCAGGGATTCATTTGAGTTCTCAAGTGTGTCAGGAGTGAGTTTTTGATGGGGATGCTGATCACTACTCTATTTTCTGGACCTGAGCCTGAGGGGCTATAGGTGCTCTGTGTCGGTGAGTCGGGATCTTCCAATGGCCAGGGATATGTTTATGTGTCACCCTTCCTTCTGTCACTCTCTGCTGTATGTTGTGACGTTTGTCTCCCCTTTTTTTTCAGCTTTTTTTCTGGAGTTCATGTGTTTGGGACTGTCCACTCCGCTTCAGGGACGAGCTTATATTATATGTGTTTAATCCTTAGTTTTGTAATATATACGAAATACCTTAAGGGTACAGGTGAGAATAAGTGGTCAGACCTTAGGTAGATAATTGATATGCCCATGCCTGCTCTATCATTGCTGTTTTCATTTATCCGATGGTTCTGTATATGCGATCTTATGCCAGGCCATGGCTTATGTGTGTAAGTTTTCTGTAATGTACCCTTTTGCTTATAAATAAAGAATGTGAAAAAAAAAAAAAGCACAGGCATTTATCCAGTGAAGCTGCGGCTACATTTCGTACTGGGTGGGGTAACCAGCTGTTTTGATAATTTATATTTTTTTACTTTACTGTCAGGGGTTATGGAAAATGTCAGGGGTCTAAACAAACCCCTGATATTTCCCTTGTAAAGTAGAAAAAGATTGAGGACACAGAATCCTCAATCTCTTTTTCTGCATCCCCGGTTATGAATGAATGGGAATCCTCTATACTGAGGGTTCCTGTTCATTCATAACTTGTGGAGATAATGTTTACTATGTCCACAATCATGCATGAATGAATAGGAAGTGATGTAGAGCACTTCCTGTTCATTCATAATTGGGCACACAGTAAACATACTGTCCTCAATTATTTACAAGCAGTCAGTGATCGCTGACTGCTTGTAAATAATTGAGGACAGTATGTTTACTGTGTGCCCAATTATCCACTCTTCATCCTGACTCACTGTGAGAGGATGCAGAGCGGGCAGTGCAGGGAGGAGAGCTTGGTTTATTTTGACAGCTAACTCCCTGCACTCCCAGCTCGGCCTCCTGTGACAGCTTACAACTGTCTCTGCTCCCACAATGCTCTCCATCTTGATCGGTCACAGGAGGCTGAGTGGGAGGAGAGCTTGCCCTGCTGTTATAATGATGACAGTGCTCTCCCGGCTCCACTCAGCCTCCTAACAGTTTTTCTCCTCCCTGCTGGATGCTCCACAATTTTGGCTGAAAGCTGGTACTTTTCGGCATTTTGCTCAAAGTGCCATTTTCGACCGATGTGTTTCAGCAGCCGAAATTGCGGTGCATCCCAACACACATTTGGGACTGCGATACAAAGTAGAGGGATGGCAACTGTAATATTCAGGGCAGATATGACCCGTAGCCAGCCGTATCAGACCACAAACTTTTATTCATTTCCACAAACAGTCAAAGTAAATGGCTTATATTCAGCAAACACAAGACTTTGGCTCAGCGCCTGTATACTAAGTCCCAGCCTCAGGGTTAGAGTCCCAGCCTGCGCACAGAGGGTTCCAATATGGACGCAGTGTCTCGGCAGACTGTATTCCACAGCTTAACACACATAGCCATGTGTCCTGTTACAAACACTCCACACAGCCAGACTGACTGGCTTCCTGTTCCTTTTTAACACACCCTCTGGCTGGTGGTTTAACCCTTTCATTACCAGAACTGGCTGTAGTCAGGGATGGAGGCTCTGAATACAAATGACTTTAACGGGACCACCACCTAAACAAGGGAGGGATATACCGTCCATCCAGGACCCATTCCTGGTGTCCTGTACACAACATAAACGTCAAGATTTCTAATAAGGCTCCAAAGTTAAAAGCAGTGTACAAACATTTTAATATATTTGTACCCTTTCATGACAGATCAGTCTCCACTCCATTATTGAACATGTTCAGACTTCACCGCCTGTGGTTAATTTTTCGCCAGCCTAGAGCACAATATTTTGGGACAGATGCCGGCACCAACGAGAAGGGAGGTTGGTAAGACTTTATTATTGGAGATGTTTGCATAACTTACAGAGACTGAAAAGTTTTTATATTTTTTTTCCCCATGGTGCTTATTACTTAAATATATCATTAAATGGCTTACAATTATGATAAGTAAATTCCAGAAATGTATATTTTAGGCAGATTGCAGAATTGCCAAGAAAGAGAAGTAAATGGGGAGAAGAGAACATTTAAAGTAGTAACAGCAGTCAGTCAGTATTAGAGGTCTTATCTATAGGTTCCAAACTCCTAAAGTGGACCTGAACTTAAAATCTGAAAATTTTCTCTGTCATAGGGAATATCTAGAAATTGTAATTGTACCTAAATCACCCTAAAAATGTTTTTATTTTGTCTTGAATTCCTTCTGAAAAGTAGCAAAAGTGAACTTCTTGGTATGAGATTACCTAGGCACCTCTGCGCCTACAGCCATGTCAACAGTCTGAATCCCAGGTCACTGTGCTTGTGACTGCTAATCTCACAAGCTATGGGTTAGGTATGTGCTGTTCTTCTTGCTGGAGAGGAAGCAAAGCCCTGCCTCCACCATTCTGTCTTAACACAAAGATAAGCTGCATGAATTCTATAGGCCATACTGATGACTAGCCTGTGCCTTCTATTTGTCTCTTTTGGGCACATAGCTTAATAGAAGCTTTAGAAAAAGCTGAGATCATTTTCTTGTAAGGCACGCACTAGATGTGTCATATAACCTATAAGGGGAGAACATATTATTGGTATGTGTAGTTTCCAGCCCAGCAGCAAATACTGCACGGTACCGTATAAGTGAAGAACATATTATTGGTATGTGTAATTTCCAGGCCAGCAGCAAATAATGCCCGGTACCGTACAACGCACCTGCGTGTGTTGCATGCAGTACTTATTTTCCACCCCACTGCAATGCAATGCACCTGCCACACTGTAATGCATGGTCAGTGCATAGCGTAATACCATTTGTTAATCGGTTCAGTCCTCCACAGCCTGGTTTCCTATATTGTGCCCCCCTCCTCGAAAACGATTTACCCACCTCTGCTCTAAGCAGTGTCTTTGATTCACACTGCAGATGCACAACGTTAAGGCTGGATGCACAGGAGTGCTTAGACACACTCGCACACCAGGGACAGCATTTCTCTAGAATTCCTCCTCCAAACTAGCATACAACATTTTCCAGGGCACTGTTTACGCAAAATTAACACTCAGATGTTCCCTGCAACCAAACCTAGCAAATGTTCACATTTTCAGTTCAGGTCCACTTTAACATAATGTATAGTGTTATGTTAATAAACTTTTGTCTCATAACTTTTTCTCTCTCTCTCTTTTTTTTTTTTATTAGAAAGTCTTCGAAACAGTATGGGTGATAGTAGAACTTGGGATAATATTTACTCAAATAATTGCTATAATGGATTTTCACATTTTGACTGGTTCTTTGGGTATGTACATCTGAAAGATTTCCTGTTCTCCCTTATTAATGAAATTGCTCCGGATAAGCACACTGGGTCACCAATACGTGTGCTGGATTTGGGTTGTGGCACTTCAGATGTTGGAAAAGGTTTATTTCGTGACTCTCAGCTTCCACTTCTAATATCCTGCATTGATAACTCCGCTCCTGCAATTCTTGCTATGAGAAAAAAACTTACAACTGAAACACCCATAGTGCCTGCGCATCAAGATTCCCATCTGGAATATTTAGAAAGTGATGTTACTCATCTCCATAGTTTTCTTTCTGGTAGTGTATCGCTTGTCTTGGATAAAGGGACCTCTGACTCTCTCTTGCGCTTAGGAAAGGAGCAGGCTCAAAAAATGGTGTTGGAAGCCCTACGGGTTTTGAAGAAAGGGGGTAAATTGGTTCAGTTCACTGATGAAGATCCAGATGCCAGACTCCCTTTTTTGGAAAATCTTGGAGCCCAACCAAATGTGACATTTCATGACCTAGGGATTAATGATAGAGTGACGTACTATGCATATATCGTGACACGACCCTCATAGGCATCAATAAATCAGTTGTTCGGCTAAATGGAAAACGAGTTACCCCCCCTTTCCCTACTGGAATGGCTTGACAAAATTGAGCAGACCTACTGCCTAGAGGAACTTACACGCATAGATCAGAAGGAACGTCTCTCAAAGACTTGGGCCTGTTGGCTGGCATATAAGACGACTCCTTATCTAGCCGTAATAACCCCTGCTGACCCTGGGTCATTATAGAAAGCTAATGAAGGAAGGTAATTACTGAAGGCATAGGGGTTAAATGGAGCAGCATATGCACTGACTGCTTTTACACTTCCTATTTTCAACTGAATTGCCACTCTGCTAAATTCGACATGATCCTACCTCCCTTTCGTCCCACCCCCCTCTCTCCTCCTCCCCCCTTCCCTAATCACCCAAATTCTCTATATTTCTACCTCACCCCTCCCTTTCATCAGAGAATGATTCTAGTACATGATGAGAAATTGTTTCAGCCTCTGGTTCTGATGCACATGTTGTGATTTTACCCATTGTAATACCTCTTGTCTGTTTACCTGTCTTGTGATAAATATCTTTTTGTTTTATTCTCCAATAAAAATGTATTATACAAAAAAATAAATCAGTTGTTTGTTTATTATAAAAATAAAGACATGCTATGTAAATTTACATTAAAGGAGAACTATGGGGTCAGGTCTTTTCCCCATAGTTCTCCTTTTGCAGCGATAAATATATGGACTACTAATGTTGGCCTCAATCTGAAACGATTACTTGTTTGACTCATGCTAATCAAGTTGTTTTAATAATTCCTGTTTCATGGCATTGATCAATTATGTCAATGAGAAGTCAGAATTTCTGATCTGCATAGTTTTTTTAGTGACTCTAACATGTATGTACAGAACTCATTAATTTAGCATAACAAACAAGTAACTAGCATTTGCTAGTGGAAAGCTAAGCAATCCCTACCTATATTTTTCCTTAGTGCTGGTTTACTTTAAGAATAACCTGATTAAAAAAAACAACTAAACATTAAAAAACTGTAAACAGTTTTATCCCCTTTTATGTGATACTTTTTTTTATTTTTTATAATGCTTACCCTGTGTAAGAAAGAGTGAAACAATGTATTAACTGACTTCACTGTAGATCACTTTGGTTGCCCAAATTCCATCTTTCAGCAAGCCTTGAGCTTCTCTCTTGAAGCACTTACAGAGTATTTCCACTTTTGCAGTCAAAATAAAAAAATTCCCCACTATACGTTTGCTACATGTAAACAGCATATCTAAAAATATATATATTTTTAAATATTTCTTACATTTTGGAAACATGTAACAAATATAAAATGTTCCCCCCGACCCCCCAACTTTGGCTGCAAAAGTGGACATACACTTTCAGACACCATTCAGCTCCAGTCTCTTGGTGTTGAACACACATTTAAATAGTTAAAACAGGATTTTTGTCTTGACTTTTGACCTGTAAAATCAATTTCCTGGAGTACATCACGGGGCACAGAGAGTTAATTCTGGAACCAATGGGTTATGCAGGTACCTTTTTAAGTGATTTGACAGTGGCAAATCGAAGCTGTAGCTCCCCCCACTCCCAGCCTGCCTCAGTTTTGTTACAAGCAGTGTAGATGCAAGTGTGGATGACAGCGTACTGTGTCCAATGATTTGACTCCAAGAAATGGATTTTACAGGTCAGACAAATCCTGTTTTCTTGATCGTACATCACAAGCATCAGGGAGCTTATTCTGCTATGGGGCATCTAAAAGCAGTCCAGCAGAGTGGCAAGCAACCCAGCAAACAATTGCTAGCAGTGAGAAAACACAAACAAACCTTATAGGGAACCATAACAAAAGGGATTAACAAGTCAGAGGGCCATCTTAGAACTTTGCGACTGAAGCTGGCATTTGTAGAAGCCTGAACGTCACCTGGTAAAACGTGACTAAACTGTGAACAGAGGACCAGGTAGCAACCTTACAGAGTTAAGACACCAAAACCTGATGCTGGAAGGCCCATCAATTACTTACGCACCTGGTAGAGTGAGTCTTTACCAGATAGAGGGGAACTTTACCGTTTTAAATCATAGACATGAGTTAAAGTTTGCTGAATCCACCTAGTGATAGTGTAAGGAGAAGTTGGCTGCCCCGTACAGGGACCATCAGAAATCACAAAGAGGGAATCAGATTTGCGGATTGAAGCAGTAGCAGAGATATAAACACGAACAGTCCGTGAATACATTTTTTTAGGATGTTTAGGGGTAGGACATAAGGATGGTAAAACAATGTCCTAATTAGGGTGGAAGGCAGAACCCAACTTCAGAATAAAGGAGGCCCTAGGCCTCAGCATTTCCTTACCCTTGTGGATAACCAGAAAGGGCTCTTTACAAGTCAAGGCCGCTAATTCAGAAACGTGCCTGGCAGAAGTGATGGCGACAAGAAAGGCCACCTTGCAAATGAGTAGGGACAGTGGGATTTCTCTGAGAGGTTCAAATGGTGGCTTCTGCAGTGCTGACAGGACTAAGCTGAGATCCCACAGAGACACTTGAGTGTGTACAGGAGACAACATGCGCAACCCTCTGCATAAAGGCCTTTACTAGAGAGTGAAAGGCACGCAGGCTCTGGAAAAAAAATTGCCAAGGCAAAAATTTGACCCTTGAGATTACTCAAGGTGTAACGCTGGTCTGGGCCTGTCTGAAGGAAATATATGATTCCAATGTGATAGTAGACCTTGTGGGAGGTTGACTTCCTAGCCTTCAAGAGAGTAGCGATGACAGTGTTCGACAGCCTTTAAAGGAGAACTATGAGATGAGTGATTTCCACTCACCTCATAGTTCTAAGCCGACCTGTGGCAATGAGACTGTCACAGGTCGGCTCAGTAGATCGGGAGGTGAGGGAACACATACCGGGTTCCCTCACCTCTCGATCCTGTCACGGCTCTCTGCCGTGACAGGGGGAGGGGCTGGATTCCCCTCTCCCCGCTCCGCCAGCGCTGACTGGCGGAACGGACGGGGGAGGGTACAGGTGGCTCTGCCTCTAGATAGGCAGAGCCAGCTGTCACTCACGCAGCTGGGCGGATCCCGTCATCTACGTCGGGGATCTGCTCCAGGTGCGGCGTAGCTCGCGGTATACTGAGTTAGGGTAACGGGAGGACGCTAGTTTGTGTCCTCCCGTTACCCCAAGGAGAACTATGGGGAAAAACACTGACCCCATAGTTCTCCTTTAATGGATATACTGTGTCCAGATAGCTGCTGGGGTCTTAGATGTATTCATGCCAGATACTGCTGGCAGCCTTGATCTTCTGGGCACTGTCTTAAATGCTTCTTATGCCTGTTAGTGTTTTTTTTTTGGCTGTCTTGGCGTGATTCTGTGATGAAGTTACGTCATCCTGGCCCAGGCAATCAAGAACTCAGAACCCGGAAGAAGACCGGGTGAAGATGGAAGCGGTGGAGAGGTAGTGTGAAATATATAAATATGCTGTGCATACTTGCACAATAAGGTGAAAAACTCTTGGAGGCCTAAATGTTTTACTGGTGGTTATTGCAAAACATTATAATTGTCAGGGTTTTTTTTAACCCTTCCCTACTCTATCCAAAACTAAAAAAAATAATAATTTGGGATACACATACACTTTAAAACAGTGATTCTCAACTTTTTTCAGTCATGGCACCTTTTAAAAGTATGCAAAATCTTGAGGCACTCCAGTCCAAAATGTTGATATAAAAAAATGACACGTGGCCTGTCCTAGATCCATATCAAACCCTTATCCAAAATCCACACCAATTATCCCTTCACATTAGAGTTCCCCTCTTTCACGTCAGAAGTCCCCTTCACATCAGAGCCCTCAGTGCCCCTTCACACCAGAGTCTGACCATCACATCAGAAGCAACAGCTACAGCAGTGCGTGAGAGGGTAGGAGGTGCCCATGGATTAACATAATTAGTATCCATGGTGCTGGTGGCTAGCCTGCACCATAGAAAGGCATGGCACTAAGGAAGCCAGAAGACACCATGGTTGAGAAAGGATGCTGCAAGGTGTATTTCCACGTTTGCAGCCAACACCTATTTTATATTTATCATGTTCCCATTCACAAAGCATAACTTTAAAAAATGTAAACATTGCTGCTTACCTTTTAAAGTGATTTTTACTTGCCTAAAAAGCACTTCAAAATGTAAGCAGCAATGTTTCAATACTAGTTTAACATTGCTGCTTGAGCTGGGAGAGGAGTTCATGTTTACCATAATTAACCCTGTCTGTACTGTGCTGGCAGATCATCATCAGATGTAAACTAGATTTTGACACTATCTGTCTTAAGAAAGGGTCAAAGATTTCAGGGCTTGTATTCTGCATTGTATGTCAATGAGGAGAAACTTACTGTGCCCCCAGATTGTCCCTTTGAAATTGCTCAGCATAGCTTGCAGTTCTGGATCACATAGATCAAGCCGGGCAGCGTTCTGAGGCGGGATGGGGCGTGTTGATGCCATTCATGCCAATGGCACTGCAGACATGCCCCCCGCCCGCAGTGCGATCTCCCTCACCGGAACGCGAGGTACAGGAATGTCCTCTGTTCCAGTGCAGTGCGATCGGAACAAATGCTGCATGCACTCATTGACATGAATAGCACCAACACACCCCACCCACCTCAGAAGGCTGCTGGCTTGATCTATGCAATCCAGTGCGTTTCAGGCTCAAAACGCACCGGAACACACTGGATATGGTCTGACTGGGCCCTAAAGTAACAACTAGAAAGGGTTTATAAATATTATTTTTAGTTATGCTGTGTGAATAGGAACACATGAGGCCTCATTCACACAGGCCTATACAGTGTGAATGAGGACCTTGTTTATGCGGAAGGGAGGCACCCACGAGTACAGGTGTCTGGGTGCATGGGCATAAGTACGTGCCTGCATGCAGTTCCGCAATGGAATGTGTGAGAAGATCCATACAATCGCAGCACCTCTCAGCCTGCCACTGATTTTAACAGGCTGACAGCCACGGCTGCACACCGCCATCTCTACTCCTAGGCGCCTCT